GAGAGGGAGGGAGAGAATCCCAAGCAGGCTCCATGGTGTCAGTGAAGAGCCTGATGCAGTGCTCAAACTCTAGAACCAAACTGTGAGATCATGACCTGAGCTGAAATTAAGAACGGTATCCTTAACTGACTGAGCCAACCAGGTGCCCCTGGAGTTCCTTTTAATAAAAGACTTCTCTGTATCCAGGTAATGAACCAGTGTTGTAACAGAGAGTGCATGCTTATTTAATTTGGGGTGAACCTCTCTTTATATATGTTGATGTTTAGTAAATTGTTTTGTGAGAGTATCCAATCTTAGCGCACCTCAATCCTGGCATCTCTCTCCCCAAAGAAAGGAGGATTCTAAGGCATCCTGTCTTGAGTTTTTGAGTTACACAATTGACTAAGAAAATGAAAAACAAATTCTAAAAAGAAAATGTTTTACAAATGTGGGATCTTTACTGTGTGTGTGTGCGCGTGCGCGCACGCGCGCGCATGTGTGTGGTATAGATGGGTCAAGTTACAAGTAAGCCTAGGAATTGTAGCAACACATATGGGAAAAACAGATTTCCCACATTAAAACAAATATGTGCTCAGCAATAGCTTTAAGCAGGTAGCTATGTGACCAAGAAAAAGAACTAACTAGACAACTTCTATGGAGCAGTCAGGCTATCCTGAGTCCTATGTCAAAGTAAAACTGAATTCAGATCCTGACGTCTTACTTGGAAGGAAGTAAATTTAACTGAAACCTGGAATGATGATTTATTCTAATGTTCACTGAAACCTGGAGTGATTTATTCTAATGTTTATACAGGACAAAGGCCTGATATAAAGTAAGGGGTTTATAAGTTATATTTTGACGACTGGATGGATAATTTAGCTCTCTAAATATTTAAGTCAGGCTCTGGAAGTAAAACATACGGCAGAAGTTAATGCCAGAGGACCTGTGCACCCACTTTCTTTGAGTAGGAGCCACAAATGCCATGAAGCCAAACAGCTGGACTCCACACACGATCAGCTGATCACAGATCTAATGTGGGTGATCACTGTCTTCTCATCACTAACCTCTTTGTAAAATACTTTCTTAACAATGCCTGAAAGTGGAGGTCACTCAGTTGTAAGGGGATATATTTTCCAAGGAGTTACTTGTGGACTCAACCCCAAATTTTTTTTGGGGGGGTTGGGGTGCCTGGCTGGCTGAGTCAGTAGAGCATGTGACTCTTGATCTCAGGGTTGTAAGTTCAAGCCCCAGGTTGGGTATGGAGCTTACTTTTTAAAAAAAGGTCAAAAAATTAAAAAAAATTTTTTTAAATGTTTATTTTTGGGGCGCCTGGGTGGCGCAGTCGGTTAAGC